GCGATGGACGACCTGCGGCGGCTGCTGGAGCGTGGGGTTGGTGGCGGTGGGGGCCGAGATGGGGGCGGGGGTTCAGGCGCCGCGGCGGCGCAGCCGGCGGTGGTGGCGGTTGGGAGCGTCGAGAGCGGCGAGGTTGGCGAGGGTGAAGAGGACGCGGCGCTTATGGCAGCGGCGGCGCAGGCGCTCGCGCTCTCGCGCGCGCTGTCAGCGCCGCGGGGCCAAGCGGCGGCGGACGGCGCAGAGGATGGTGCAGCTACGCCGCAGACGGAGGGCACGGGCGCGCTGCGCCTCAACACCTGGGAAGACGTCGACGAACTGCTGGCGGCGCGCGCGGCGGCCGGCGGCACCGCCAGCACCCCCTCATCAGCCTGCTCAGGCGAGGGTGGCGCGCCCGCCAATTGCGCTGGCAGCAGGGGCGGCGCGGCTGCGGCGGCAGCGCAGCAGGAGGCAGCGGCAGAGGCGCTGGCGCTTGGCACGGGGGTGGCGCTGCTCTCAGCAACGCCGCAGCTGCGGCTGCCTTGCGATGGAGTGCCCGAAGAAACCAGCTCCACCAGCCAAATTGTTGGCCAAGACCCCACAGCATCCCTGCAGAGCCATGGTGGCACCGCCGCGGCTCTTGCCAGCACAGGCCAAGGCGCTGTTGCAGCGAGCGCTGACTCACCCTGGCCGCAGCCGGGGCTCCATGGAGGCGGCCCCGCCGGCGCAGGCGCTGCCCTGCAGCCCCAGCAAGCGCGGGCGCAGGAGGCAGGCACACCACCGGGGCCCGTCCTGACGGCGTCTGATGAGCTGTGCGAGTTTGGGAGCCCCACAGTGAAAGCGGTTCGCGAGGCAGCGCGCGGGTTTGCACCACCCCCTCTCCCCCAGGAGCCCGTGGCGGCGGCTGATTGCGCCATAGGTGCCGGTGCGCCGCCAGCCGCGCACTTGCTGCCTGGTGCAGCGCGGCCTCTCGGCTGCGGCGCCCGTTCATGTATGGCGCTGGCTGCCCCCACCGATGCGTCGGCGGTGCCAGCCACGGTCGCGCGGTACGCAGGTGAGGCGGCGGCCGCGGCGGCGCTGCTGCAGCCGACAGAGGACCCTGAAACATGGCTGGCCCCGCCGACACAGGACGGTGCTCAGGGCGCCGCATGGGGCGGCACAGTTCCTGCGGCTTACAGTGGTTCTAGTGGCCCAGGCGGGGCCCCTGGAAGCGGCTTGAGGCGCTCAGGCGGCAGCGCCGGTGAGCCGCAGACAGCCGCACGGTTGGGCGGTACACGCCCGATTGCTTCCGGTGATGCGCACGACGAGCGGCGGGGTGCGGACGAGCCTATCGCTGCAGCGGCGGCGTGGGCGGGCCATGGAGGTGGCAGCGGCGCCGACGCCAGCAGCCACAGCTCAGGGTTGCAGGCGGCCATCAGGCAGTGGCTGGCAGAGCAGCCGCACCCCAACCAGCAGCAGCCGCCGCCCGAGCTGCAGCAAACCCAGGAGCTGCCACCGCCATTGGCCTGTCCAGGGCGTGCTCTCGGCCTCGTCAACCCAAGCTCGCGGCTACAGCCGCCTCGGTATCACGCAGAAGCGCCTGGCCTGGGTGCTGCCCCCTGCGGCGCAATCACTGGATGCTGGAACGGCTCCCAGGACGAGCAGCAGCAGCAGCAGCAGCAGCAGCAGCAGCGCGCGGCTGCTGAGGAGTGGGAGCGTGTTGACCTGGCCAGCCTCAGCCTGGCCGAGCTGCAGGATGTCCTCGTCAGGGGCTCACTCGCCCTGACACGCACGCCGGCGCCGGCGGGCGGGGCGGGGTTTGTGCAGGGGCAGCAGGCACGTGGCAGCTTTGCATTCGCAGCTGCGGCGGCGGGCAGTGGGACCAGGGCAGGTTGGGGCTCTAATGCAGGGGTGGAGGTGGATGCGCCGGAATGTTGGGCGCGAGGCAGCAGCCTAAGGGGTGGCGGTTGAACCAGGAACTTGTGTAATGTGAGGTGGGGGCTTCATGGAGTCTGCAACACCCGAACCACTTGCCATGAAGTCATGAGTACCTCTGTCTGCATGACCTCACACCCTTTGACCTTGTCTGTTTGCTTGAGATGGTCAAGATGCTTTGCCCGGACAATGACGTCAATACTTGACTGGGCAGTCACAATTCTACACAAATACGGCACCAGGACAGCTTAGGACCCGCCAGCAGGTGGCGCCCCACTAATAGGGGGGCGCTTGCGCATGCGATTGCTGTAACCTTCTATCATTGCAAATCCAAGCAACCCTACACAGCAGCCAAGCTTTTGCAGCAAACGCCAATGACGGCATAGAGAAGCAGAGCGTTTGCAGCCTCTTAATGCATACTTGCACAATGCAGGCCCTTGCGCTGCACTCAGCAGGGTCCATCGCAGGACCGAAACGGCAGTGTGTGCTGAACAACACGCCTCAAATACATTGCATGAGACAGAGTGCGCAAAGATACCGAGTGCACGGTTGCTCAGACGCTGGCAAACAGCTCCGCCAGCGGCAGAGCAGGCGCCGATGTCTCCGCGATGACCTCCACCACCTTGTCTTTCGCAGCGTCCTCCACCAGCGCCTCAATAATCACCTCGGCCACCTGGTGCAATGTGCAAGTGATACCAGGATCACGTTGGAGTACAGATGTGTTGGCGGCGATGAGGTCAGAGTGGAATTGATAGCGGGCTGGTGTACAAGGGGCAACAGCAAAGCAGGTAGGTGCGTGGGCGTGAAAGGGAGCTGTGCACCAAGGACAGGAAGTGGCTGAGGCCGGACGAGGCCTGCTTGATTTGCAAGCGCCCTATGCAGGAGGCCCAACCCCAGTGCCTCGTTTCTGTTGTGTCCTGTGCTGCAATCACAGCGCCATCGACCCTCCCTGCTGTGAGGGCGCCACACCTGGCTGCGCAGGATGGAGCCGGACTTGCGCAGGGGTGGGAAGCCGTAGGTGTTGGGGCGCCCGAACACGATGTTGCCGGCAGAGCTCTCCCCCTGCCTCAGGCGCGACTTGAGGCCGCCAGGGCGCACGACTGTGAACGTGAGGCCGGAGCGGGCCAGGGCGAGCTCGGCCTGTTTTGAAGGGTTCATGATTTGTAGGTTGTGCATTGGCAGATTGAGAGGGGGGAAGGGCTCTGAAATGCCGTAGGGGTGCCTCACTGCAGAAAAGTATCAATAGGGGTGCTTGACATGCGTGGTGAGGATGCAGAGCGACCCCAATAGTGTTTGCATACACTCCTCCTCGTCTCCAAGCTCCAATGTGACCCCGCCCGTGTGTCAACCGCCGGGTGCGCGCCTGCTTTTTCCAGACGAGCACCCCCCAGAAAAGGTTGAGGGGGTTGAACAGCTCATCGGCGCCGATGGAGGTGACGAGGACAAAGCGCTTCACCCCGGCGCGCTTGGCTGCCTCTATGAGGTTGAGGGTGCCGTTGAAGTCCACGTTGAGGGGGCCCAGGGGCTGGAGGGCGGCGGGCATTGGTTGTGCGGCGGTTAAGAGTTGGTTGGAAGGTGAGGGTGCCCGGCTCTTCAGGGACATTGAAGCGAATAGTGTGATGTGCAATAGCTCTGTGTGGGGCACAGAGCGGTCGGTAACACGTAAGACCCACTGCGTTGCTGAGCGCAACAGAGACAGAGTTGCAGTTGCAATGGCCAGCAAACGCGCCCAGGCAGCATGCACGCCGTGGCTCAGCCCAGCTCACGTCTTTGGGGTCGCTGGTGCCCGTCGCGACCACCACCGCGTTGGCGCCGCGGAGGGCGGGGCCCAGGGTGCCAAACTGTGTCACTGTGGGTGGGTGGAGGAAAGGGAAGAGGGAGAAAGGCATGTCGATTTTGGCGGTGAAAAGAGCCGCCACTTGTTGCCACGCCAGGTCCACGAAAACATGCCCCTCGGCCTTTGGAAACAGGTAATATGGCCAACCCCACGCCCGTGACACTCCGGCCGTCACAAAGCCGGCCACTCACCGTCGCCCTCAACAATCTCCAGGCCCTCGCCGACCTCCGGCAGCTTCCTGACAGCTGCCGCCGCGTCGCGCGCGAGCGCCACCACGGGCACGCCCCTCTCACGCAGCGCGGTGACCACCTCGCGCCCTGTGCCCCCGGTGGCGCCGGCCACAAACACCTTGAGGCCCTTGAAGCGGTCGCCACTGCTGGCTTCCTGGTCCTGCTCCTGCACCGGGGCTGGCTGCGAGGGTTCGTCCAGCGCCGCCGCCGCGGCGGGCACAGGGACGTCGCTGCCGACGGTTCCGGAATCCGCCCTGGCAATGTGCCGGGCGGCGCCGCGCCAGCAGCGCGGCGTCGGGGCTGAGGCGTGCCAGGTGTGAGTGTGTGCGTGGGTGTGTGTCACAAAAGATTGATTGGCATGAAATCATGTGGGTTGAAGGGCCGCACGCGGCATGTCCGCGCATCAACGCGCCGGCCAGACTTGCGAAAGCATCACTGCACATGCATGACGCCAGCTCGACTAGCGACACGCAGTCACCCAACAACGCACCTGTGTGCAGCAAATGATAGCGCGCATAGGCCAGCGTGTTCATTGGTGCGCCGGTCTTTTGGGCGCGGTGCACACGCCGTGCCAAGGCCTGCATGGTCATGCTGCCAAATGTGTGGGCGGCACGCAGGGGACTCGCTGCACGACAGGAGGCAGCGCGTCACGCGGATGCACCAAGCACTCGATCAACAAAAAACGCGTCAATGAAAACTGAAATTGCGGCTGCCAGCGTCACGCATCATGTTGACAAAATCAAAACAATCCAAACGCTCCCAAGCTAGCTGCCCTGTGGCTCCCTCATCATCAGACTGCTCCTGTTCGCCCCTCGCCGCACCGCTTTTCTACAACAGAGTTGTGTTAGCTGTGATCAAAATAATCCGTCAGACCAGGCACGACGCACTGCATTCCGGCAAGATGATGGTCCAGCATCCGATGTTGGTGTAGCACGCGGCTCTCTGTGGGGCAGCAGGAAATTTGGCGATGGTTTCTATGTTTCGCAGCACCACCGGGAGCCTTGTGGCATCGGAAAGGCGGGATGGCTTCACCCGGTGAGCTGTGGGACGATCTCAGGGGCTCTCACACCTCCAATGGGCTTCAACGGCGAAGCTGATGGCGCTACTTCGTCATTTAGCGCGTCTCGTTTTCATTCGCCCTTGTGCTGTGTGACTTCACAGGTCGCCAGCCGGCGGGTGCTCGTGCGCGCAACAGCAGCGCACCCGGGCGGTGGGATCTCACAGCGGCGGGCGGCAGGTGTGCGGGCGCCACATGCGTGCGTGCGTGCGACGTGGGCGAATGATTTGTCCACTTATGAGCGTGCCGTGCGCGCATGCTGGCTGCATGGCCGGGGTTGCTGGCGTGCGGGCTCGACGCCTGCCAACCCCAGGCAGGCCGGCGCTCTTTTGCATTGCATGTGACGGCCCACCGCCCGGCCCGCTCGCCAACCCTCCTGCGCAGCTGCTCCATTCGACTTCGTCGACCGCCCCCGGCGCGCAACCCGCCTGTGTGTTGCCCCGTGGCGTTGTCCCCGCGCTTAACGCGAGGCTGGGCGCCAACCAGGGCGGCAGCGGCGGCGGGGGCAGCTGCTCTGGCGCCGGCAAGGGCCGGGACGTGGTGCCCGGTGCAGTGGCGACTGGATCTCAGGTGAACCGGGTGGAATGCAGACATCCTAGCAGGCGGGCAGGCAGGCAGGCAGGCAGGCAGGCCATCTGGGCAGCAGGACAGGGGCCTGTTGGTGCCTGTTGGCCACTGTCATGGACAAGGGCGTTACCACACACTTTCCATGCGGCATTGCTGACCGGGCCACCTCCTCCCTCCCTCTCGCCCACCTCACTTTCTTAACCCTTTGGCCAGGCCTACTCGAGCAGCAGCATGCGGTTCGAGGTCGGCTATGCGCGCGGGTGGCAAGGGCAGCAGCCGGCTCAGCCATGGCTGTCCACCGCCTCGGCCCCGCGCAATGGCAGCGGCGCGGCCGTCGTCGAATCTGCTGCTGCCGGCAGCACAAGCCGCGGCAGCAGCAACAACAGCAGCAGCAGCAACAATAGCAGCAGCTCCAGCAACAACAGCAACGCGCGGTCGGCGTCGCCGCGGCGAGTACGCAGGCCGCGCATCAGCAGCAGGCGGGAGGACCCGCTGTTGGCTGAGATCCAGGGTGCTGCCTTATTCAGTGAGCTCCAGGGCATCTGGCAGCGCATCAAGGGCAGCCCCAGCAGCGGCAATAGCCACGGCTGCGTCCACGGCGGCGCCGCTCAGCCCCACCACCTGGCGGCGTTTCTGCGGCAGCTGACGCAGTGCGTCCTGACGGGCCGAGAGGCGGCTGCGCCCGACAAAGCGCAGGAAGCGGCGGAGGAGCAGCAAGAGGAGGCCGCGGCGGACGGCGACGACTGGGAGGACGGGTGGCAGTCCGGCGGCGCTGGCGTGGGCGATGCCGCGGCTGCCAGCTGGGACGGGGGTGACGCCTGGTCCGGCCGCTCCAGCTGGGCCGGGCCAGCCGCACGCGTCCCGAGCAGCCCAATCAGCAGCCCGCGCAGCAGCCCTCGCAGCAGCCCGCGCAGCAGCTTTGACGGCGGCGAGCGGCCACAGGGCGCGGCGCTCTGGCCTGCGTCGTACGGCTCTCCGGTTGCCGGCGACCGGGGCAGTGGGATCCCCAGCAGCCCTCGCAGCAGCTATGACGGTGGCGATGATCTTGGTCGAGGCGGCGGGCAGCGGCAGCGGCTCTTCCAGTCCCAGCCGGACGGAGGGTCGGGCGCCGCGCGGCTGCCGCCGGTGCTGGGATTGAGCCGTGTGACGGAGCCAGCGCAGCGATCCCAGCAGCAGCAGCAGCAGCAGCAGCAGCAGCCGCAGCAGCAGCAGCAGCAACAGCAGGAGGCGGTGAACCAGGCAGGTCGAGACGTACAAGCGATGCGCGCCTGGCAGAGGGCAGAGCAGCAGGAGAGCATGCAGGTTGCCAGCAACGGTTCTGTGCAGGCGCAGGTATCGCCCTCGCCACCACCAGGACCGGCAGCGCCAGCGCCAGTGCCAGTGTCAGCGCAAGTGCAGGCGTTGCAGCCACGAGAGGAGCAGCAGGAGCAGCAAGGACTCCGTACAGAGCAGCAGCAACCATCGCCGCAGCCGGTGCAGCAAGTCGTGCCATCAGGGCCGTTCTCGCGCCTCCGCAGGCCGCCGCCGCGGACGCAGGCAGCGATTGATGAGGCCAGTCGCAGCCGTGACTTTGGGGACGAGCGCGGCAGTCCAACCCAAATCAGCAGCGGCGGCGGCAGCAGCAGCAGCAGCACCAGCCCTATGTCAAGCAGTGTCAGCGGCGGCGGCAGCGGGAGCAGCAGCAGCAGCAGCAGCAGCAGCGAAGACGAGGGGGGCCGCGGTGCCATCGCCTCCAGCAGCAAGGCCGCCGGCGCCTCCGATGCCGTTGGTGCGGCCACAATGGGGTCGCCGCCGTCGCCGACTGCGTCGCTGGCGTCCCTGTCATCTCGCGATGACTACGGGGACCTCCTGACCACCGCCACGATGAGCCAGCGCGCGCGCCGCATAGGAGGCGGCATGACGCGCGCCTACGGCAGCAGGGCGGCGCTCTCCGTATCGCGCCTGCCCCCGCCCTCGAGCGATGCGACGGCGGCGGCGGTGCCCGGCGGGGCAGTGGAGGCATTGCTGCGGGATGTGCTGCGTGCTGTGCGCGCACGGGCGCGCGGGATGGCGCCTGCTGTTGCGGCGTCGGCGCTGCGATCCCTGGCTGAGCTGCGTCTGGACGACGCCGCCACAGTCCGCGCGCTGCTCGCTGTGCCCCTCGCACCACGGCGGTTGCTCGCGCGAAACGGTGGTGGCGGCGGCGGGGCGAAGCTGGGGGCGGTGGTCGGGTCGCTGGCAGCGCTAGGCCACTCGCCGCCACCAGAGTGGCTGGCGGAGGTGGGGAATGCGCTTGCAGAGCGGCGGCCGTCAGCCGCTACTGCCGGTAAGCGCGTTGCAAGCGACGTCAGCAGCGGCGGCGGGGCGATCTCTGCACATGCTGCGTTCCATCTGGCGCGGTCCGGCTGGCGGCCGGGGCCCGAGGCAGGCGCGGCCGTGGCGGGCGTGCTGTACTCGCGGCTGGGGCAGCTGTCGCCAGTGGAGCTCACACAGGCGGTTCAGGTGCGTTGGGGCCGGCTGTGGTGAGCAGGGCGGGTCATGACCACGCACGCACCACACACATGCACTATCTTGCAGGGGCAGGAGCCTAGCCGTCACCTGACTCCCACCTGCCACACTTGCGCTTTGGCGCCCCTCGGTTACCCGCTGCCCCAGCGCACCTCAACAGGACTGGGTGCCCACACCACACGCTCAACATGAACACACACCACTAATTGCTCTCCCATGGGAACAGGCCCTGGCACTGGTGGGCCATACGCCGGACGACGTATGGCTGATCGACTTCTTCGCTGCCACGCGCCGCGCGCTGCGCGCGACGCCGCCGCTGCGGATCGTGCACACGCTGGGCGCGCTCGCCGACCTCGCGCGCCGCCCCGACGACAACTGGCTGCGCGCCATGTTCACAGCGCTGGGGCCCGCTGAGCTGCGCGCGCTGCCGCCGGCCGCGTGGCCGTCGCTGCTGCGCTCGCTCGGCGTGCTCGCGGCGCGGCCCGACGGCGCCTGGCTGCGCGGTGCATACGCCATCTGCGCGGTCAGCGCGCTGCGGCGGCTGCCGCCGCGCGGCCTGGCCGACTTGGCGGCTGGCGCGGCGGGGCTGGGGATGCAGCCGCCTGCGGCATGGGTGGCTGAGCTCGCGGCCGCAGCCTTCTGGCAGCTGCCCTTCGCGCGGCCTGCTGACCTGGCAGACCTGGGGACCGCGCTCGCCGCCCTGCGCGCCGACCCGGGCGCCGCGTGGCTGCGCCAGTTCGAGGCGCGCGCCGCCGCGGTGCTGCCCGGCTGCAGCGGCGCCCAGCTCGCGGCGCTGCTGTCGTCCATGGTGGCGCTCGGGCACCGGCCGTCGGGCGGCTTCCTGACCGCCTTTGAGGCCGCCAGCCACGGCCGGCTGGACGAGTTTGGCCCCAAGGGCCTGGCCGCGGCCGCGCGCGCATTGGCAGACCTGGGGGCGACGCCGTCCGTGTCGTGGGTGTATGCGTTTGTCGTTGCCGCCTACGGCCGTCTCGAGGCGTTTGACGCTCCGCAGCTGGCGGCGCTGTTCGAGTCGCTGCCGCGCCTGGCGCCGCACCCCCGGTGGGTGGACGATCTGGTTCAGATCTGCTCCTACGAGGCGGCCCGCAGGCGCGGCGAGACGGCAGGCGCTGCACAGGCCACTGCGGCAGCGGCAGGCGGGGGAGCGGGCGGTGCAGCGGCGCGGCGAGCCCAGCGCGGCCTTGGGCGCAAGCAGCGGCAGCGAGGCGGCGCTAAGGCCAAGGCACAAGGCTCAGCGAAGCGCAAGCAGTTGTAGGGTTTGGTGGTACCCTGGCAGGAAGCAGCGGGCCAAATGTTGCCACGTCGCTGAATGTCCGGCAAGTGGTGGCTGCGTGTTGGCGCCGCCAATCTGCTTCTTGGGTTTGCCAGTGCTGAATTCATGGGGCCACATTTTCATCAGCCCTCAAGGCCTGGCGCTTGCCACATTGGCCACGCCACTGACGCCTGTGATTGTGCTGCCCATTGAGATCGCGATTTGGGATCTCTGTCCCACCGCTCTCACATTCTGGAATCGTGAACATGCTGTCCTTTTCTTGTAAAGTCCACTCTGTTTGGTTGGTGTATGGCTTCCGAATGCTGGGTTTGCTTGGCAACAACCAACCCTGGAGCACAAGCGCATGCGCAGCGACAGCAGCAGCGCCAAGCGTTGGCCGCCTGCTGGCAGCAGCAGCAGCAGCAGCAGCAGCAGCAGCAGCAGCAGCAGCAGCAGCAGCAGTTGCTGGCAAGCGAGCAGATGGCAGCCTCGGCAACCCAGCCAGCAGATCAGTGCATGTACCCCCTCTCTCACACCACTACCACTTTATCCCTCGCCCTCGATAGCTTTGAGGCCTGACAACACGTCCCCAGCCGATGCTTGTGCCAGATCCCTGGAGATGGTGGCCTCAAGGTGCGCTGACGCCCGTACTGGGCAGTGAAGCTTTGCGCGCCATGCTCCCCACCACCTTCGGCGCCACGTGCAATGCCCTCCGTCATCACGCAAGGTGGGTCTGTACGCCAGCAGGCAAAGGGGCCCACATGGACTTGTCAACAGGTTTCCCTTCATCCGGGCTGGCTCCCTTCGTTGCACCATCCATGTCGTCGCTGGCGGCGCGCAGGGAAACACTACAGCATGGACACGCAGCGGGTGTGCATACTCATCACTCACCCCGTTTCGCTAGCATGCTGCGCCCTGGTTCCAGCCACCAGCTGCCTTCACGATGGCTCGTAAGAGCTCAAACAAGTCATGGTTGGCACCTGCGAGGGGCACGCAACGCATTGCAGCGCGTGACCACGGCCACGGCCGCCACGGCGGGTTGACCGCTCAGCGGCTGTGACGGCACCTGTGCATGCCTGTTTTGTCCAACGTGCTACGCTCTATTTGTCCTTGGCAGCAGCAGACTGGACTATGGTTTTGTTGATTACAATGGGGCCCTGGATGTGCATGCTGAAGGCGGCACATTGCTCTGCGGCGCGGATCAGCGCAGCGGCTGCTGCCATCATCGGTGGCCCTTGACTCATTGACTCTGACTTGACTGCCCGCTTTTGTGCACCCCTCGTTCCTTGCAGCAGCCTTTTGTAGTAACCATATCAAAACCTATTGCTTTACAATGATGAATATTGAACTTTCATGTCTACCAATTCGTGCTCACCGCGTTTTCGAGTCAAAATGCTATACGGTGAATCGTTCGCGGCTGTGTGTGTGGGGCATACGTGACTTTGGAAACAGTCCAATGTATCATGGTGTTGTCCCAGACTGGATCCTGGCTTTTCGTTGTGGAATGCAGCCTGCGCCTCTTACACAGAGACTATCATACCGTACTTCGTGCCAAGCTGGATAGGAGAAACTCTAGCACAGATTTCAGAAGGGCCTGCACTCTGGGGCTCTGCGAGAGGGAGAGCTTGACGCCCACTGGCGTTGTGCAGCACTGAAGCACACCACATCGACATGCAGCCACAGCCTACCGGCTTGTGGCGCAACAGCAGCGCTGCAAGTGCTCCAGTTGCCGACTGGGATATGATATAGTTGCCGACATATGGAATGTTCAAGCCGGTTGTCAGCAGTGCAAGCAACGGCGCTGGCCTTGCCTGCAAACAGGTCGCCAGTGCCTTCATGCATCGTCAGCATGCACCATCGCTAAAAACGCCACGAGCCCACGAGCAGGTGGCCTCTGGGTGCGCTGACGCCCCTGCTCCGCAGTAGGTGCTTCACGCCCGCTGCGCCCCGGGCGCCTCTTGCCCCCGGGGGAGAGGCTTGCGGCGCCCTCACCACGCCAGGTGGTGTTGGTCCGGGGACAGATGGGGGAGCCGTACAACTCGGTGGGGCTCCCCCGGGCGGCCCGGGACGCTTCGCGCCGTTGCGCCGCCGCCGGCAGCGCGCTGGGCGTCAGCCGACAGCAAGCTCGCGCGCCTGCGGCGGCTGCTGTGCGTAGTCAGCGGCAGCATCAGCTGGAAGCGCGCACCAGCAGGCAAAGTTTTATGGCCACTGAGTCCCAGATTCAGCAAGCACCATGCCATCGCTGTGCTGCACTGCGCTGCCTGCCCAAGCCCTCTTTGCCCCAGCAGGTGCAAGGCTCACAGCACTCAAGTCGCCCGTCAGATTCCTCGGCGCTGGTGTGTGGCGACTGCGCTCGTGTGCAGAGGTGGGCACTTGGGGTTGTGACTGCAACATGCGTGCTTGGTGGTGAATGCAAAAATGGATTTGGTATGTGTCTCCCCCTACATGGCATATGAAGTGACAAAGTTCCTGTGCGCTAGCTGCCTTCGACCTATGCACTCCCACAAGTTGCGCACTCACACGTGGCGTTTGCTCCCCTCCTTGCGTCGCAGGTCCTTGCCGCGGCATCATATGCTGCTGGACGGCAGCCGGGATTCAGGCGCCCCCGTTCGATCCGGTGGGTTCAGGCTTTTGTTGACAAGGGTGGGGGTCTGCTGCGTTGCGCATCTTGTCCCTGTGCACACGACCCAGTAGCACCCCACCAAGCCCCGTCTCACCCATCCTGCTGCGTCTCTTCCCCTGCCGCCTCATACCTCAGGATGTGCATTGTGAGACCACGCTGCCTTCACGCCTTGCCTGTGGCGGCAGCGTTTCAGAACCTGGGCTTTGCACAACACATCCTCACCCGCGATGCACAGCTGTGGTTGAGGGTGTCGGGCTCCAGGCGAGAGGGGGCTGTGGGCTGGGCTGTGTGAAACACAGGGGTGTGCTGCAACATGTATGAGGAGCAGCACACTGCAGCACAGGCGGGCCCTGGCCGCCCTTCCACTCTTGCTGCATCCTCAGGTGCTAAAAAAGTCACAAATGGCTCAGAGTCAGCTCTGACGATGTAGCTGGCGGTAGCCATGCAGTCAGCAGTGCACACAGCCCGGTCAGGCAGTCAGCGTTGGTGCCTGATGCGCCTGGAGAGCAGGGTAATCAGGTACCCTCTGCGCAGGAGCCCAAGGGCAGGTGGCCTCTGGGTGCGCTCACGCCCCTGCTCCGCAGTAGCCTCTGCGCCGCTGCGCCCCGGGGCTCTTGCCCCCGGGGGAGAGGCTTGCGGTGCCCTCACCACGCCAGGTGGTGTTGGTCCGGGGACAGATGGGGGAGCCGTACAACTTGGTGGGGCTCCCTCGGGCGGCCTCGGACGCTTCGCGCCGTTGCGCCGCCGCCGGCAGCGCGCTGGGCGTCAGCCGACAGGAAGCTCGCGCGCGCCCGCGGCGGCTCAGTGCGTAGCCAGCGGCAGCATGAGCTGTCAGATCAATGCACGGCAGTCTGTTTCTGCCCACCCAGTCCCAGGGTCACCTTGGCAGTTTCAGCCAGCACCCCGCCGTCGCCGCGCTGCACTGCACCGCCTGCCAAAGCCCTCTTTGTCACAACAGGTGCAAGGGGCCAGGCAAGTCGCCCGTGATGATTTGTTAGGAGGTGTGTGACAACTGCACTCCTGTACTGAGGTGGGCACTCGGGGTGCGGATTGAGTAGTAGTTGTGCAACACGTGTGCTTTGGGGTGCGTTTCAATCGTGATTTGGGTCCTGTATTGCGTGACATGGTGTATATCTCTGCAATGGTCCCATTCGCAAGATGCCATCAATCCATGCAAACCAACAAAAAGCACACTGACACGCAAAGCCTCTGCTCCCTCCTCATTACGCAGGTCTTTGCTGCGGCATCGCATGCTGGATGGCGGCGCAACCCAGGCGCCGCCACACAGTCAGGTGGGTGCCGAGCTGCCGACCTTGGTTGATGAGGGTGGGGATGTGCTACACCATGCAGCTTGTCTCAGTGTATACGACTTAATTGCACCTCACTAAGCCCCGTCTCACTCATCCTGCTGCATCTCTTCCCCTGCCGCCCCACATCTCAGGATGTGGAGCGCGGGACCCCGCTGCCTTCACGCCTTGCCTGTGGCGGCAGCGTTTCAGAACCTGGGGTTTCCACAACACATCCTCACCCGCGATGCACAGCTGTGATTGAGGGTGTCGGGCTCTAGGCGAGAGGGGGCTGTGGGCTGCCCAGTGGGCTGTGTGTCACACAAGCAAGGGGGCGCAGCAGCATGAGCAGTAGCGCAGTGTAGTGCAGGCGGCCCTTGGCCACCCTTCTCTTGCTGCATCCTCAGGGGCTGGGAAACTTCCGGGCTGGGAGTCAGCTCTGCTGATGTAGCTGGCGGTAGCTATGCAGTCGGCAGCACACACAGGCCGGTCAGGCAGTCAGTCCGTGTCGACGCCAGATGCGCCTGGAGGGCAAGGCCAGGTAAGCTCTGCGCAGGAGCTCACGAGCAGGTGGCCTCTGGGTGCGCTCACGCCCCTGCTCCGCAGTAGCCTCTGCGCCGCTGCGCCCCGGGCGCCTCTTGCCCCCGGGGGAGAGGCTTGCGGTGCCCTCACCACGCCAGGTGGTGTTGGTCCGGGGACAGATGGGGGAGCCGTGCAACTTGGTGGGGCTCCCCCGGGCGGCCCCGGACGCTTCGCGCCGTTGCGCCGCCGCCGGCAGCGCGCTGGGCATCAGCCGACAGCAAGCTCGCGCGCGCCCGCGGCGCTGCAGTGCGCAGGCAGCGGCAGCGGCAGCGGCGGCGGCAGCGGCAGCGGCAGCGGCAGGGGCAGGGGCAGGGGCAGCGGCAGCGGCAGGCAGCTTGGCAGCTTGGCAGCAAGTGACAAGCAGGGCTCAGAATGTGTCAGTGGGCAGCCCGTGCAGCCCACTTGGTGTCAGCGCTAGCTTGGCGAGTGCAGTGCGCGCGCCAATTGCACAGAACTGCCCTGCCCCGTACGCCAAAGCGTTGACTGCCCAACAGTTTTAATGATGGATGCAAGTGGCCCAGTACCTGACGCGTTGCTGGCGAACCGTTTTCACGGAACGCGTGTTGACTTCTGGCATTGAGCTTCCCTGGTGATGTTTTAGGTGCGAAATTGTGCACAGGTTGGCTCATTGCCATTACTAACTGTTTTGTGTCACCTTATTGGCATTATGTGGTCGACATACAGAATGCATCAGCTGACACCCACTTTGTCACTGGCAGGTGTCAAGACCACCCCACATCCAGCTCAGCAGGACACACTGCCCGTGGTCCCCCTTCATTCTGCAGGTGACGCTATGCCATGCTGTCTGCTCCTGGTCGGCCTGACTGGTCGCGCTCATGGGAAGCAGGTGGGACAATTCGTGGGTTGGTCAGGGCAGGGGCAGCATGCATTGCCGCAGAGAAAGCGGTCTGGCGCGCCAGGATGGTGGTCGTTTGCAGGCACACGACCCGCAACGCAGACCAAGTAATTTGTCACCCATCACCACCCTCTCCCTGCTGGCCCCTTACTCAGGCCTGAACTCCTGGGCCCGGCCCGCCTTGCATCAGCGGCCGCCTAAAAGTCTGCTGGCTTAGCTGTGTGTGTCACAGCTGTAACACAGACATACTGCTCACATGCAGCATGAATGCCGGGTGTCCTGGCCGGCGTATTGGGCAAGCTGGGTGTGCCGACAAGAGTGCTCGTGTCAGCTGGATGGTGCACACGCTACACAGGTACACAAGGCTGCAGGCCCGGCTCAGAGGTGTGCAATCCAGCCTGATGCCCAACTGTCGTGCACAGCAGCATGCACCCACTGGCCATCATTAGGCCTAAGGGTTCACTCAGGCTTTCTTGCGGTGGTTGGGCAGTGGGGCCGCCAACAGCTGTGAGCAAGGAGCAACAGGCATATGTATTGGCCACCAGAGCCAAGGGCAACTGCCCCTCCCAACATATTGCCACCACCCCGACCTTGACCGCAAGCGCACCGCCCAGCTGCCCGACTGGTCCATGCTGCAGCCTTGTTGGGATCGTCCAGCTGCATCGGGCCAAGCTGGCGTCAATGAGGCCAAGGCTCTGCACCCTGTCAGAATCAACAGCTACCGAAGTTGCGCTGCGAAGCGGGCACGTTTGGTCGCTGGCGCAGCTCCACCGCTGCAGCTGCGCCCGTGCATGCAGGGACGTCAGGTTCTTCTTCTCACAAATTCATCTGAACGCGCATTATGATAGATGTCGGGGTGGCGGTTGGACGCCCTCACCCCGCCCGCGACAACTAGACAAAGCCTCCGGTGTGGCGCGTCTGCCGCTCCGGCGACGGGTGCGCCCGAGCAAAGTGTTACTGGGCAGGCTGCTCGCTTTATATACGTACCTTGTATGCATCTCACACACGTGCGTCCCGCCGCTCTTTTTGATACTGGGCTGCACGATCACGCTGGGCGTATTGTACTGTAGAGCCCACTTGCTTCCGAGCTGTCGTCAATTCAAGACTGCGAAAAATTTGGCTCATTAGTGACTTCTTATCCGCTGTGTGTGGCGGGGCGTCACCAGCCGTCGCCCGCGTAGCAGGAACCCAACAGTGGCACGAGCAGGACGGCGCGCTGCGCGGCCCCCGCCGCCATCACCTGAGATGGGCCGCACTCGCCGCATTCGCTTCAACCGCATTGGTGCGTCTAATTGGGCCGACAGCGACAGCGACCCCGGCAGTGGCGACGACAGCGAAGGCGAGGGCAGCAGCCGCAGCGGCGCGGAGGCGCCCGTGAGCGAGCTGGCCTCGTCCCACCGCGGTGGCGGCAACAGCAACGGCGGCGGCCAGCGGCCGGCCAGGTACCTTTGTTATTTCGCTCAGTCGCTGCTGGATTTCCGAGTGGCAGAGGTCGAGGCGCTGGCTGAGATGGTGGGCTGCCCGCCAGGCACGCTGCGTTGGGAGCCGCCCGCCGGCGGCGACCCCGCGTCGCCGTTTTGGTTTGTGACTTTCCCGTCCCGCAGTGTGGCGCGCCACGTGGCTTCGCGGGCCGTCCTGCTGCGGGTGAGCGTTGCCGGCAGGCTAGTTGGACTTCTTGGGCCTGTTAACCCTGGCTGATGATCTTCCAGAAAGGCTGCTTTCTGGGTGAACGCATGGAATGCTTCTCAAGCAAGGGGGTTTGGGCATCATGGCAGTGTGTGTTGCAAATAGCGGTCACTGGCCGGGGTTTAGGGCTGCAGCCTGCGCTCCTAATGCGGCTCAAACCACCTCAGTCGGAGGCCGCCATACAGCCCTCCCCACAAAACCCCCACCCTCAAAAACGCACGGCCCAAAACGCACGGCCCGTGCCACCCCGCCAGGCCCTCATCGAGGTGTGGGGCGAGGGCCCAGGCTGGCCGCAGCTGCAGGCGTCGGTCGAGGCGTACCCCGCCGCGCGCCGCGCGCGCTTCCTGGCGCCCGACACGAGCTTCCGGCTCAAGATCGACACCTGGAACTTCAAGTGGAGGGAGGAGCGCAAGAGCGACGTCCTGGACGCCCTCGAGTTTGTGGGGTTCCAGGGGCGCGTCGACCTGAGTGACGCCGCGCAGTCCAGCTTCTGGGTGATACTGGCGGCCCCCAAGCCGCCGGGGCAGGGGTGGGACGCGTGGGCGCGCTGCCAGCGGGAGCGCGAGCAGGGGGCGCGGACGGGGGCGGGGGAGGGCGGCGGGCAGGTGGCAAACGCGGGGCGGCAGCAGGATGACGGCGGGCAGCAGCAGCAGCAGAACGGGGAACAGCAGCAGCGGCAGCAGGAGCACCAGCCGGCAAGCCATGAAAGCAATCAGCAGCAGCATTCGGAGCCGGAGCAGCAGCAGGGAGAGGGCGAGCGGCAATGGCAGCAGCAGCCGGGACAGCAGCAGTCAGAGCCGCCGCTCGGTGGTGATGACAAAGTTGACCCCTGGACTTACATATACTTTGGGCGCGAGGTGGCCATTGCGGAGAGCAGGTGAGAGAGGCCGCTGCGGGAGCACGCGGCTGCTCCTGTAGTCATGAAGGGGGCCCATGCTGAAGGCCGCCGCGGTTCGCCCTGCGCTCAGGAGACGCAGCATGGCAGTGTGGCAGCAATGCTTTCGAAAAGAACTGCGAGGGGGGGGGGCGTCAGCAAAACTCTGTTTTGCGTTTGCATTTGCATTTGCATTTGCATTTGCATTTGCATTTGCATTTGCATTTGCATTTGCATTTGCATTTGCAGAGTGACACATCGCCCTTCCTCGCTGTGCTTGCACCCCCCTTGCCTCCCCTCTGCAGGGCCCTGCCTGCGCTGTTCAGCCTGAAGCAGAGGCGCTACCTGGGGCCGACCTCCATGGACGCAGAGATGGCCTTCGTGATGGCCAACATGGTGCGGCGGCGGCGGCGGCAGACCGTTTGGTAGTGGTGTACCTGGCAGTGGTATTGGTGGAGTGCGTGAGGAGGGGTGATGTCAGGGGATTTGATGGGATTGCTTCTCCGCTCGAGGATGCGGTCTGTCAGGCCCGGCCGACAGCCCTCGATCTCGCAGCCTACAAGCGTCCCTTCCTTGCCCCGCTTTTGTCCTGCACATTCTTCCCCCCGCCGCATGGTGCGCAGGCGTGGGTGCGGGCCGGCCACCTGGTGCTAGACCCCTTCTGCGGCACGGGCTCCGTGCTGCTGGCGGCCGCCAAGCGCGGCGCGCACGTGGTGGGCGGCGACATCGACATGCGCGTCCTCAAACAGGGCCGGCCCAACCAGAAGACGGGCGCCCCCGAGGACAACTTTTCGAATTTCGAGCAGTACGGGCTGACCTGGCCGGCGGGGCTGCTGCGGATGGACGCAAGCAGGGCGCCCTTCAGGGCGGGCCTGACAGAGGTGCGCGCCGGGGCCGCATGCTGTACGTGCTGCGCGTGCTGTGCGTGCTGTGCATGCTGTGCATGCTGTGCGTGCTGTGCGTGCTGTGCGTGCTGTGCTTGCTGTGCGTGCCGTGCGTGCTGTGCATGCCGTGTGCATGCATTGTGGAAAATGTTGCCTTGGTAGGAGACAGTGGGCGTTGCGGGCCCAGCTACTGAGGGCAGCGAGGTCGCTGCTGCTGCAGCCTGGCTACTGTGGTGAAGCACACTGCTGGTGCAGCTCTTCGGACTAGCTGCCTTGGCAACCAACCGCGCGATGAACGAGCAATTAATCACCTCCACGTCTCCTGCTCAACCCCATGCCTTCATGCATATCCAGGTGTTTGACGCCATCATCGCGGACCCGCCTTACGGGGTGCGCGCTGGCGGCCGCAAGTCGGCCCCCAAGGAGGGCGCCCTCATCCTGGACCCCGCCACGCACTACGTGGCCACCGCGCCCTACGGGCTGACAGAGTGTGTAGACGACCTGGTGGCCATGGGGGCGCGGCTCCTGCGGCCCGGTGAGGGGACCTCGAGCGTGGGAGGCCTGGGGTTTCGGTTTAGTGTAGGAGGGGTGGTGCGGCGCCACACGTTTCAATTCAGCAGCAGTCGGGGACGTTCGATGGTCTGGCGTGAACTGGTCTGGCGCAGGGTAGGTATGCGCAGCAAGGAGACTTGGCTAAGGGGGTCGCTCACCCAACACCACCACTCCTCAACCCCAAACACACACACACACACACACACACACACACACACACACACACGCACATGCACATGCACACACACACACACACGCACACGAGCGAGTGCGCACGCGTGCGTGCTCACAATTGTATGAGCCACAGTATGAGCCTTGCCGCTCAGCCCCATGGGCGTCCATCGACTAGGCTCCTCACGTGATCGCAGCGACCTCTCTCCACGCTCCCCACGAACTCGTACACTCTTGAAATCCACACTCACACAAGCACATGAGGTGCGCACACACCAACACCATCCACCTCGCCACGCGCCGCTGCCGCAGGCGGGCGCCTGGTGTTCTTTGTCCCGGTGTCCCCGGAGACGTACGACCCATCAGACTTCCCGGACCACCCCGCCATGGCCCTGGCGGCCAACAGCGAGCAGCCGCTATCCACCCGCTACAGCCGCCGCCTGCTCACATTCCGCAAGTCCGCGCCGTTCGAACCGGCGCAGGACGCCGCATGGCGCGAGGGGCGGCGTGGGTTCAAGATGGGGATTGAGCAGGTGGCTGACCAGGTCTGGGAGCCGGCGCCGCACAAAGCGGCCTTCAAGCAGCAGCGGCCAAAGGCGAAGGGCAAGCGGGGCCAGGCGGCTGGCGGCGAAGGGTGCGATGGAGACGGCGGCGGTGGCGGGAGCGCCGGGGCGGACGCGGCTGGGGACGCCCAGGGCGCGGCGGTGGAGGCAGCGGCCGGAGCGGCAGCGGCGGCTCCGAGGGCCGCCTCGCTTGAGAGGGAGCTTGTGAGCGCACGCATGTAAAAATCTGATGACGTGGGCGTGGTGTGAGGTGTGAGGTGTGTGACGCGTATCCATGCGGAGGCCCAGGGAGCGACGGGGCGTCGACCTTCCGCCGACATTTTTGAGCCAAAAAGTGAGCAGGGTTCTACACGGATTGCTGCGGCGCCGCCAGCAAATGGCATGAATTGAGAGTAGGCTGTGAGTCACTTTGCGCTTGCGGCTTGCAAAGGGAGGGCCTGGCGAGTCCATGTGGCGCCAGGTGGACCAGCCGCTGAGCGTGGCCAGCACATGCCGCTGTTTACCATGCCACACGAACATGCCACACGAATGCCATGTGCAGCGAGAGAGTAAAATACGTTATGTTGAGTTCGTGATGGAGCATCGAGGCGACACACAGGCGCACATGGGCAGAGGTGACAGCCAAGCAGCACGAGTTGACAGACGGCGCGCGGAAGGCAGGAAGTGGTGGGGCAGCGGAGTCGTGGCCCGCCTGGCGTGTTCCCTTTTGCCGATCGCCACCCCTCACACGGCATAACCCGTTTGTTTGTTTTTGACACAATTGATCGTACGCGACGCAAGGGCAACGGGATCCTCGCCGCACCGACCACCAGCAAGTGCAACGGAGACAGCTCATCGCACCACAAAACCACCCGTCGCCGTGGGAATGGTCGAGACTGCAGGCGTTTCAGGACCCCTGCAAAACACGCTTAACGCGCTTCATGTACCTCTGAAGGCACGCAGCAGGTGAGCGGAGTTGTGGCATCAGGTGGTGCCTAGATACAGCGTAGCCAGGGCCCGAGGCATCCTCGCACGCTGCATATGGATGCGCTGATATTTTTTCAACCTATCTTACAGCCCGCGAGCCCCGGCAGTGCGCTGCGCCGTTGCGCCGCCGTCGCCGCCCCGCGCTTGCCTCTGTCCGGCACCCTCCGCGCGCTGCTGACTCTGCGTGCCTCCGCCTCCACCACCTTCCCCACCTCTTTGGCCAGCTCCTGCGGCGCTCACGACGACGCTGCTTTCCTCAAGTTTTTGACTGAGAGCGGCCTGATTGGCTCCCTTGACGCTGGCGACCACAGCAACGCCTGGGGCAGCTTCGACGCCGCCCCTGCAGCCCACATGCCAGCTGCGGTCGACGGCGCGACGGCGGCAGCCGCCGCAGCCGTCGCTCCCACTGACATCGCCCCCTGGCCCATCGCTGAGGTGGCCGCGCTGCCGCGGCCCCTGAAGCGCCGCCGCTCCGTCGACTCCGGCGACACCCTGCCTATGCCCGCTGGCGCCGACGCCCACCGCCGCAAGCGCGCCGTCCACGACGACGAGGCGACGTCTTCCTCACCTGCCAATGACCTCGCCGGCCTGCCGCGCGCGCGCGGTGCCGCCGCCGCCGCCGCCATCGGCGCAGCCGGCGCGCCCGAGCAGCACAACAACCGCGCGGCGGCGCAGGCTGCTGCAGCCGCCGAGGCGGAGGGCGTGTTCAAGGCCGTGCTGGTGGCCAAGGTGCTGACCAAGAGTGACGCCTCCTCCAAGCGCATCATCCTGCCGCGCATCGCCATAGAGGCCAACCTGCCGCACCTCACCAGCGGCGGCGGCGGCTTTGGACAGGGCCGCGCGCTGCACTTCCCCGCGCTCGACCGCGCCGGCCGCGAGTGGCCGCTCTGCATCAAGGCCTGGGCCAACGGCGCCAACCCCAAGCCCGTGTTTGTGCTGGAGGGCGGCGTGGGGGAGCTCATGAAGACCCACAGGCTCGGCCCCGGCGACGTGGTGGGCGTGCTCGCCAGCGAGGACGGGCGCCACTTTGTGCACTGGAACACGGACCAAGTGCGCGACGCGGCGGCGCGGCCAACGCTCTGCGCGTTTGAGTTTGCGGAGCATAACAAGCGCCAGGAGGCCGCGGCGGCGGACGCAGCGGCGCCCGCGCCCGCTGCGGAACCGTTGACAACGGCCATGCAGCAACAGCAGCAGCAGCAGCAGCAGCAGCAGGACACGCCAACAGTGTCCCCGCCGCCCACGCCGACGCTCGTGCCCTCGCGCCCGTCGGCGGCGGCGCCCTTTGCGGCGACGCCTCTGATGGCGGCCGTGCCGTTTGCGTCGTCCCTGGTGGTGCCGGGCTTCTACCTGCCCAGCCCGGCCTGCGAGATGCTGGTGATGGGGCCCGGCGCGCCCATTGCCGAGGCCGCCTGCGCGCCCTGCTACCTGCCAATGGACGGCGACGGCCCCTCAGGCCTGCTGATTGAGTGCGCGCAGCCCGCCCTGGGCGGCAGCCCCATGCTGCTGCCCTTGCCGCCGATGCCGTCGCTGACTGCGGCGGACATAGCTGTTGCGGCGCTGCCGCCGGCGGCAGTCGCGGCGGCCGAGGCGCCTGTTGCTGCGCCGGCGGCCGCTGTGCGGGTGGGGTCCATCCTGCACCAAGGGGGCGCGCTGCTGTGCTCGCGCACCACAGGCTGCAAGCGCCCCGCAGGCCACCAGGGGTGGTGCCTGGGCCACGGCTCCAAGCGCACCAGCAAGTGACGATGGCGCGCGCGTCGATCATTTCTGCGGCCGTGCCGGGGATAAACCCAGGTTGATGTCTGTTGCAATTGCTCCTTTTCATGCACATTTCCTCTCATGCACGAAAACCTGCACATAAAAAGCACAAGCACTGGGCGCCGATTTTGGGGGTTGCGCATTGCTTTTCCTCCACCCCCCTCGCCCTTCTGTGCAGCGGCGTGACTTGTGCTGAGCCGTGAAACGGTGTAGCGGCCTCCAGCCAGGTGCCTGCCGCATGTACCGCCCCCACCACCCGCTCATCACCACGCGGCCTGTTATTGGCTTGCGGAATATCTCTAGGCGCCTGATGGCGTCAGTCGAAGAACCGAAGAGCCGGCCGCGCTCGCTCTGCCAGGGGGCCGAGCGGGTGTCGCCTCACCGCCTCATTTGTTATGTTTGGCCCAGCTTGTGTTTGCTGTTGAGGCTGTGGTTGAGGTTTTTGCGGGCAGAGGAAATGGGAGCAGCAGAGCTTACTGCAGGGGTAGGCGACGCATCTTTGTGCCAAAGGCTTGACTGGTTGCAGGCCTTGCAAATGAACTCGTTGTTCCTCATGTCGCGCCCGGACAGGGCGCTGAGTAGATTGACGGCTGACAGGCCGCCACGTACCTCCTATTGTTCACCAGCATGCGCGACGCCCCCGCGGCCGCTGCTACTGCACTCCGGCTTGACGTTTCTGATGTGCGGAAGGGAAGCAGCAATGTTGTCCGCTGCTGCGCATTTCATGAATGTACCAACATCTTTGCGTGGGTCACTTGCAAATAGCACGCAAGCAGCGCAGCACAACGCACATCCCCATTCACATACCTCTGTTGATTGATCTGCGACGCTGCAGCCACTTTGGCACAGCTGTATGTAACTAAATCGCGTCGTGCATGATGGCAAGTGAGCACATCAACAGTTGGGACGGGGCAGGCAGGTTCAAGGCGACCACGCTACCGCAGAGGCAGGTCGTGACTGGCGACACTCCTGGCACGGTGTAGTGGGGTATGCATGCAAGCCATCAACATGTTATGGCCGCCAGCCAGGTTGTTTGAGGCGCTCACGGGAACTTTCTTGAGGGAGCCTTGCATTGGCTTGTCATCCCCAACTTGGCGCTACAGCGACAGTCGGCGGTGGTGCTCTCGCAACAGTTGCCGTTTGCCAAGAATCCGACTTGCGCAATGCATGCCAGCAGCAACTCAGTTACGTGGATATGGTATCACCCAGAGCTGCTGCGCCTGTACCATTTCGAGCATTTGGCGCCTTCGTTGATCTCGCTCACTGATCTTGGCCACGTGGGAGGTGGAAAAGCCAATATGTCGGCGACAAACAGCAAAAAGAAGCGCCGCGTATCCGGGGAGAAGAAGCAGCCTGTGAGTGGTGCGCTTCGCGGCATGGCCGGCCCTCAATGAGCGCCGCTGCAGCATTCCACCGAAACGCAGCTGCCGCGCACCACTATGCTGGAGCTCAAGCCAAGTTCCCACCCACGACCCCTGGTCCCCGCACACCTGCAGACAATCCAGGAGTCCTTCGGCAGGCAGCAGCAGGCCGGCGCGCTGCCAGCGCTGCGCGCTGTGCTGGAGGTGCGCGCGGCGCCGCGGCTGGTGCCCAACGTGTTTTTGGAGGAAGCCCTGAAGGTCCACGAGGTGCGTGGCCGTTTGCAGGGGTGTGTGTGCAGGTGAGTGGCAGCGGCTTAGAAGCTGCAGCAGGCTTGGGGGCCGGCTTGATGCCTGCGAAAGCGTGGCCGGACTTGCCAAACCTGTTTGGGTCGGGTAGCTCAATGTTTGCGAGTGCGATGCTGCCCACCTGTGCGGCATCCCGCCGCTTGCCCTGCCGCGACCCCGCCCCCGCGCCCTGCCATTTGCTGCGGTGTCCAGATGTACAAGGAGCAGCAGGGCGAAGCCAGCCGGGCCATCGCCCAGGCCTCGCACCTCAGGCGGAGCGGCAGGTGAGCCGCGCGCCGCGGGGTGGGGCGGCCAGCAAGGCGCCCAGACACGCGTGTTGGCATGGGCTCAGCATGCAGCAAGCATGCGTGCTGCATGCGCGGCTCATGCGCCATGGCATGCGGTTGGAAGGGGACGCTTTCGCCTGACTTTTGCCATGTGCGGCGCATCCCCTGCATCAAGCCGCGCTCAGTGGGCATCAGCAGCCGCACGTCCCTTCCCAAATCCTCACCACCCCAAACCCCCTCCACCCCAGGCAGCGGGCACGCAGCCGCCGCTACTCAGACGACCCAACCCAAGCCGCGCCGGCGCTGATGAGGCGCAAGGAGCCGTCCCACACCCTATGTGACGCCCCCGACGCGGACGACGAGGAAGGCGATGCCGCGGGCGCCGCGGCAGGGTTTTGCGGCGAGGGAGGGGACGGCGGCGACGAGGCTGCAGCGGGGGCCGAGGAGGACGAGCACGAGGTGGACGCGCAGGACGAGTACAGCCGGGCGCTCTGCGCGCGCTGGCAGGGGCACGGTGCGCCGGGTGGCGTGCCGGTGGTGCGCGGGCCCTGCCCCGCGCATGCATGCGGGTGCCAGGCTTGGCCGACTGGAGGAGGATTGAGACTCAGCTGCCCCAAGTGCTGCCACACCTCTTCCTTCTGATCTTTCTGCTCAATACCTCCTGGACCCTTCCTCCATCTCAACCTTCTACTTCCCCACCACGCTCGCCCCCCCCCCCCCAGCGTCCTCTTTCGTGAAGCAGGTGTCCAAATGGGTCAGCCCAAACTGGATGCTGCCGCTGTGAGTCTCACAGAGCACCGGGGCGACGTCAGCCCAGGGCTGTTTCACACAGAGCGCTGACATAGCGGCCTCGCTGGGGCCAGGGTTCAAGTTTGCGGCACAGCCTCACCCCTTGCGCAGCGTTTGACTTTGGCTTGCTTCCTTGCTTTTCTCACCCCGTTTGTGCAGCCTCATGCCCCATTCTAGAGCTGCGCTTGCCGCGGTTGACCCACACTCTCTGTCCTGCGCGCCCACAGCGCCCTGCAGGAGTGCCTGGTGCACTTTGTGGCCAACCACGAGCTGCACACCACCGACCCCGGCCTCAGCCTGCGCGCGCTGGACCTGCTGCAGCGGCTGGCTGCGCAGCACCCGCACACCAAGTACATGCCCGCCGATGAGGGTGCGGCCGGGATTGTGCGCGGGAGGGGCGCGATTGCCCGAATTGCTCAGATTACAGCGAAGATCATTGCTCCTTCATCCCCACCCCTACCCCCACCACGCACCACCCCCAGCACGCACCATGGCCTGCCGGCCCGCTTGGACCAACAAGAAGCCTGCCCTCAGCCCTCCACCTGGCAAACAGTTCCACACAGCCCCACTCACCCCCCCCCCCATCCACGCCCACGCCCTGGCCCCAGACCTGCCCGCACGCGTCTGCGTCCACTCTGAGCTGTGGCACCCCCTCTACCGGGAGTCCACCCTCTCCGGCCGCCTGGGCGCCACCGGATTCCAGCTCCTCTACCGCCTGGCCGCCTCCACCCTCAAGCTCGCCACGGGCGCGCCCGACGGCTCCTCCTCCGGCGGCGCGGCCGGCGGGTCGGACGGCGGCGCGGAGGACGCCGCGCGCGCGGTGGGGCGCCAGGGGCGCGCGCTGCTGCTGCACTATGTGGCGGTTGTGCTGGAGGCTGACCTGGCGGCGCGGCTGCGGGTGCTGCGCGAGGCCAAGGCGTCAGACGACGGCGGCGCGCGCGCGGCGGAGACGGTGCTGCAGGGGGCGCTGCTGTGGCGGCTGCTGCAGGTGAGGGCTTTTGCAGGAGAGGTCAATGGCAGTCATGTATGCCAGCCCCAGCTGCTTGTAGGCACGGCTTGAGGGGATGCAGCATGGGCCAGCCGCTGCCAGGTTCCGTTCCTCTGCCACCACCTCACCTGCACGCCCTCGACTCTCCTGCACGTTGGCTCTTACACACGCATGCAATCATGCACGTGCACACATGCCCACACTCACAAGCGTTCACGCGCATGGGCACGCACAGAACACGCGCACACACACACACACACACACACAC